GAGTTTCTTTTACCCCATTTAGTCTAAAAATGAAATTTTGGTATCATGCTTTACAACTAACAAGGCCTTTTCACATATACGTCACACTGTCCTCATGACAACGTCATTGTGGGCACAACAAATATTATTATTGATGAAGTAATGAGGTGCAGAGAGTTAGGGACTCGCACAAAGTCACGTGTCAAATAAACTATAGAGCCAGGCCTTGACACCAGATCTTCTTACTCCAAATTTAGTGCGACTTCCTCCATCCCTTGCCACTTCTCCACATCTCCAAGATTATGGAGTCTGTGAGATCTCCTCTGACAATAGTCAGGGACTGAGAGTTAGGGATAAAGAGGAATGTTTGTTAGTGGGGGAGGGCTGTGGAGCCGTTCAGCCAAGAATGAGTTTTTCATGAGAGCAGGAAAGTTCCTTAAGTGGCCTTTGGCTTAGCAGAGGCTCTGCTTCATCTCTTCTTGACGTTGTCCCTGGGAAGAGGGGAGCTGGGGTGGATGCAATGGGGAATGTGGGGAAAGTTGTCATTTCAATGTTGTCTGTTATCCATCCACATGGCCCCTGGGGCCCTATTTTCAGACTTGTCTGCTTGCCCAGAAAGGGGCAGGCCCAAGTTTCACAGAAATTAGAAGCACATACACTTGGCCTAACCAACAGAAATGATGAAGAGATGCATGCTGGTTCAAACCAGTGCCTTCAACACTCAAGAGCAGGGGGGGACCTTTTTTCTGCCTGCTTCAATGCGAAGACCTCTAATTAGAATCAGAGCTGCATAGAATATTAGAATTGCCATGAATTTTAGAGATGACAGTCCAACTACTTCATTGTACAGACAAAGGACTGAGAGGCAAAGTGAGTTGGCTCGAGTCATACAGTGATTTATTTAATCCTGGAGCTGGGACAGGAATACAGACCTCCTGACTCCCGACCTAGTGCTCTTTCCTCCCCATCTGGCTGCCTTTTGAGTTAACCACAAAAATCAGAGCTTGGTGACAGCTCAGGCAGAAGAGTGGTTGCTGGGCTAGAGGCCGTTTTCCACCATCACCTGTGACTGTTGTGTTCAGCCTCGCGAACACCTCCTTGAAGCCTCTGGCAGCTTGGTCCTGTGATTACTGCAGAGAGAAGGTGGTAAATCAAGGTCTGTGTGGGGAACAGCATCATCAGTTCTGGCATGTGTATCTAAGCAAGAAGTGCCTCTCAGGAAGGACCTCACTCCCTGTTGCAACTATATCATACCTTTAACAAAAAGTCACTTTGAGGTCACTGTTTTTTGTCCAGTATTTCAATACATTAAATGCAATTACTTCATTGTTGATTTACCTGTCATTACAGGCATGTGTTTGAACATGATTTATTGAGTGAGTTTTGTGCCAGTTGACTTGCAATAGATTGCACAATATTCAAAGGGGCTCATTTGCTTGGCATTACATTAGAGGCATGATGATTGCAACACAAAGCAATGTAAATGAATTCTGAGAGGCTCCATCATTCATGTTGTCATGTACTGAATCCTATTATTATTTATTACCATAATTGTACTGTGTTTCCTGGGGCGATAAATTAGGACTGATGGGCCCCGCTGACAGTCAAGGGCTGGACTTGCTCTATATAATTTAATAGGGATACTGTAGGGTCTGTGTGTTTGGAGGCGATTTTGGTAATGGTGAAAATGAAAGAGAATTTTTTTTAGAAAAAGTACAAAAACCTTCCAAGGTTTTTTTTTCCCCCTCTTTAGTGCCTTGGCTGCGTTTTAAGGCGTTGATAAAAACTGAACTATAGGGAAGAAAAGTTCTGTCTTTCAACACAAGATGGTTAAAGCTCATGGCCTCATGCCACTTTTCCACATCGAGAATGCTGACAGGTGGTGTTAACTCTCACACAAACAGGGCATTATCATGCATAAGGAAGCTAGAACCGGCTGAGAGCTCAATGGTCAGCACGACGGCATATTAACATATAAGGCTGATGGACTCTGGATATCTCATCTAACAGGGCAACACTTCTGAAGAAACTGAAAGGTATGTTTTCCTGGAACAACAGAGAAGGAGCAGCACAGATTATAGATAGAAAATTGCTTTACAAGACGTTAATGTGCTATGCAAATACCAGCATAAGATATTATTAAAATCATACAATGCAAGTGCTGGAAGCCATCTTAGAGATGACTCAGCTCAACCATCTCACTTTACAGATGAGAAAACCGAGATGCAGGGAGGACACAGCCAGCAATTAGAATGGTCATTAGAAATATCCTGCTAACCCGAATCATATGAAGATTATCATCAACTGGCCTTTGAGTTTGAGTGACGTCAAAGAGAGCTGAGGAGTAGTGGAGTATAGAACTGGACATTAGCACAGGGGATGGTCAAGGGAAAAGCCCCAGATAGTCTTAAACCTCCCCTTGGATCTCTCTTTTGTTTAACGACAAAGGAGTAGACTGTGAATAAAGCTAGAAAGTAGATGTTAGTCAAATGCTGCTGGCCAAGAATCTCTTAGAATCCACATTTAGCATAATCCTATTGGATCAATTTTATTTCAGGAAATAATCAATCTGTCTTTGACCCTGGGTCACAGGTCAGGGATTTCATCACGGCCTGGAAAGAAACTTTTTGATAGTTTATGCACATGCCTGGGGTGCTCTGTCTTTATCTATTGCAATCACAAATATCCTGTTTGGGAGCTCAGTGTATGTAAAAAAGGGGATCCTGCTGAATGAAACTAGGAAAGAGGTAGAATTCTGTTTAGGGAGTTAGGGAGTTAGGGAGTTAGGAAAGAATTGAAACCAGAGTCGGTTTAGGCTGATAGACATAATCTTCTCAGTAGAGACCTCATCTAAGTAGTTTTATTTTCTATTACTCAAGAGCTTAGAGGAAAGATTTCATCCTATTTGCCTGAATTCAGCTGTGTTTCTATGTGGCACTAAATGGTTTTATTCAAATTGATTCAGGCAGTGCCATAATAAAATCGATGCATTGCCACCTAGTCAATCAGATTGGGTTGTTAAAACAAGTGAACTAATCAGCCACTTCTTAAAAATCAGATCAGATCATCTGTGTGTGATTCTCCTGTCCCCTGGGCAACTGGCATTATAGTCAGAAATCAGCCCCAAACCTCCTATAGTTCTGACCCACCTTAGCCCCATCCCTATAGCTAAGGCACCAAGAAATGGCTCCATGTTTGGCCAGTGGCACACACGATCCAGACAGCACCCTGTGCACCCCATTGGGTTGGAGATGGCAGTGGGCTCTTGGCATCTTCACGTCTCACAGCAGGAGGCAGAGTCTTCTGTTTTAGAGCATTAAGGAGCAGTCTGCAGTAGCAGCAATCAAGTAAAGGAGGCAGAAAGCTGTTGGAGAAGGAAAGCAGTTGCTCATTGCCTATTACCTTGTCCCCTGAAATGGGGTGCTGGATTTACAGGTGGCTCCCCAATGTAGAGTGGCCCCATCATGTCTTTCTGGATGACCTCAGGGGTTCTGAGATATCTCGGTCAACAGAAAAGCTACGTCCAGCTTCACCACAGGCTGACCCTCGAGACTGAAGTCTTTCATTGACAAAGGGAGGCAAGTAATCAGGCCATTAGCAAAAGGCCATCCCAAACTTGGTATTTAGGTTCAGATTCCTGCTTTTAGAAAGACCCTGGCTTGGGGCCTAAGTGGCTGCAGTGTCTCTCCATCAAAAATTTGTTCTTGCTGGTGTCCTGTCTTTTGCTGGACTGAGGAAAGTAACAAAGTGCATTTATCTATTTATATCATGTTTGTGGCCATATCAGTCCATTAGAATGAAATCACCAGCACCAAAACAGGACTGGAAAACAGTAATATGGATGATAATTTTGACATTAAAGTAGAAAAATATTATGCATAATTCACGAGATTCTGGATGTGGGGCAGACTTCTGTGTGTCCGAAGCAGAAGCTCTGGCCAGCTTGGGGCCCAGGTCCCAAATACACAGAAAGGGGGTCCACCCTGTTTTCTGACTACTGGCAGATTTACTAGCCCAGGATTCACCGTTTGAGCAACTTATTAGACCAGGAAAGATAACAAAGTAAAAGGAGAGTAGGGACTTTGGGTGGATATAAGAACATTTAAGTTAAGAAGGTGATTATGACAACATGGAAGATGTTGGGCAAAACCCATACCTATTAGTCAGTGGTCTAAGCTCATCACGATGTGGATTATTCATGTTCTAGACTAGGATCAATTTACACCAAATTTACCTCTTAAATATCTTCTTGCACCTTTTTTGATGGTGTGCAAGGATGTAATTGAAAATAATTAAAATGTAAACATTTGTCGTGTTTAGAAATAGTCTTAGTTCTCATTTCCTTCTTCCTCAATCATTTTCACAGAGAGAGAGAGAAGGAAATCTGCTTATGCTTGGACACATTTTTCTTTAAATCAAGCCAATGGCAGCCCAGTGAAGCTCAGGTGTGTTTTCCCCAGTGTACTAAAGATACGTGCTTGAGGAAGCAGGACCCAGTGGGAACCCCAGACCTGTGGCCTTTCTCCTGGAAGCTCGTATCTCAAAGCTGGCCGAGCTCTCCTCCCACCGAACAAGCTGGATCCTTTCTTTGTATTCCTTTAAGGGATATTCTCTTAAGGTTCATACAATGTTTTTAATCAGAACGGCCCTACCCACAACCACAAGTTTTGCTGGCTAGTCAGAAGCACCTGCTAACAAAGTAGAGGATGACACTTCCCTCTGTTCCCTGGCCACTGCAAAGTAAGCTTTCTGCAGTGAAACCCTGTAAATCCTTTGAGGTACTGACCTGGAAGGTGGTAGTAGTTAAGGGCTCAGAATGTGCTGAGTAAGGAGATTGGCTGGTGAAGAAACACTGTGGTCAACAGAGAACATTTTAGGGCCTTTCCTTTTGGAGGAGAAAGCTCTGATGTGGCTAGTTGTCCCAGGGGCGGAGCGGTTGGCCTGAGTAAGAGAGCTTGAGTTTTGGTAAAAAACAACTTGGTTTGAAATCCTGACTCTGCCATTGTACTGAGCAGCCAGCGTCGAGGACCGCTGTGAGGACAGGCAGGGATTTTGTTGTGCAGGTGCTCGTGTCAACCGTGGCTCTCTGCTTGCTGTTCTGAACAGGAGTGCCGATGGAGACTGGCCTGCTCTGGGATGTATCCACTTGGATTTTCTCTGTGGAGAACTCCAGTAAGTTTGCTCTTGGAACAAATTCTAGATCCCTCTAATTTGGGCAGGCTAATAGGCCATGTTTTTTATAGTCCTGGGCGTGTATTTCTCTTGGCTGACAGCACTGGGGAGAGTACCTGGGGGGCAGGGGAAATGTTTGGATGAAGGTAAGAGGAAGGAATGTGAATGAAGAGTCCTACAAGGATAAGGAGAAGCTTCCTCTCTAAGTCCTGAACAGCCCTCCCTCTTAGATTTTCCTCACACCTTCCCAAAGGGAAGTTTCATTTCATACTGGTGGTAGGAGGGCTTCTAGAAGGACACGGGGCGTCCTACTTCCTTGAAGAGAAACAGTATCATTGATAACTTGAAACCCAATTAGATCAAGAGGGAAATGCTTTGTTGGGACTGGAGGGGCCAGAATAGAGTTTTAATGAAAAACACATTTTATTTCTAAAGTAACTGGTCTTATGTTTATCCCAGAGAAAGTCCTCAGGGTGCAGAGGAGAGAAATGTAATAAAATGATAATGAGGGGGCCCAGGACCCTCTCGAAGGTACTGTTGCTGTAAGCAGTTACTTCAAGGAAGTTCCCTGCTGCTTCTCCAGGCTTTTGGGCGTGCCTGGCAGACCTTATTCTTATTCCAAATCAATGCATGTGGAGGCAGCCCCCTCAAAAGCTGAGAGAAAAATGTGCTGAGAGATTGGCTCTAGAAATGGAAACAAAGAGCGGAAAAGGCTCTTTTTCTCATCACTTTGGTATAATCAGACCGTCTTCATAGCCTGAAGCTCTCCAGGTGCGCACGCCTGCTGTGGTCTAGGACTGTCCAGCCGGACCGTGCCTGAGCCGCGGGCCCTCCCTGGCCAGGCCTGAGGCAGGCCGTGAGCCTCCTTGGCCCTTCCCTGAGCCCCGCCCCCCAATCCCCACATCTCACCATTCGACTGTGTAGAAGAGGCAAGGAAGGGCGACCCAGGCCTCAAAGGAAAGAGAAGCTTTCATCTGAAGGTCTAGAAAGGCTCAGAACTCCTGATCCTGGCCTATCCGCCAGTGAGTTCTTCTTAAACTTGAGGCAGCTTCACGCTGTTTGCACCACATGAGCCAGCCACATGGTCTTGCTGGAGAGAAAGATAATTCCTAAAGAATTAGAAGGTAGAGTCAACCACTGCTAACAGTTTCCCTTGCCATGTTGAACACCAAGGCCTTTGGCAACATTGCTCAGTAGTACTCAGGGTCTTATTTCTGATGCCCAGTGGAATTCCCTCTCCTCAGGACTGTGCTGACCATGTATCTTCAGGGCTTACTATGTAAAAATATGTTACATGTAGTATCTCATTTAATTCTCACCACTGTTCTGTGAATGACTACCATAGTCTCCATTCATCATCTTCATTTAACAGAAAGGATAAGTGGCTTATCCAAGTCATACAGCTGGTGGGTAGATTGAGAATTTGAATCTGTGCTCCTAACCTCTGCACGATTAGGTGAGAAGTAGGCTGGAGCTCCCCCTAGTGGTGGTCATGTGAAACCAACCGTTGCTACATTAATTGATGTGTGCCCAATTGCCATTCCCCTTCTACTGCTGCTCACCAGTCCCTCTCCACTTTTCTTCTCAAACCCTGGCCATTAAAGTTATAGTCTTAAATCCCAAATTTCATCCTTTCTCCACCTTAGCCTTTATTTTCATTCCTATCCAGAGTCCTAAATTCTTGTCTTATGTCTGTCTAATTTGTAACTCTGCACTCTATCCCTTGGGACTCTTTATATTTAAAAAAAACTCACAGATCTGTCCAAATAAGTTTTTGTACATCATCCCACCTCCTAGCATTAGGCAATCTGTGCCTTTTCTCTGAAGACATGTTTCTCTTGTAATCATCTCCAACATGTCCTTCTCTTATTCCTTTTCCTTAACTGGACAGAAGGTGGGGTTGGCACAGCCGTTCTCTCCACCACTTCTCCCAACCATCGTTTTGTGACCTTTATCCAACAACCGTGCAAAGTTGAAATTCATAGACCTTGCTTTCCTTAATGCAAGCAATTAAGATCATTGCTTTCCTTAATGACCCCAGCACCTGGCTCACAGTCTTTGTTTCCTTGCTAAAGTCCAGGGGACTCCAACATAAAAATTGATCATCCTCCCAGCTCCGTACTCAGGTACAGTTCAAGTTCCAGAGCCTCAGGGAGTTCTGTCTTGCCTCCACGGAGCTGCTTACCCGGGGGACAGTCAAGATCATCTTGGGCAATTGGCTTTAAGTTCTTTGGAGCTAATGGGACTAGGTTTGAATTCTAGGTCTGCCACTGTATGCCTCTGAGCAAATGGCTCAGCCATCTTAATTTATTCATCTGTAAAATGGGGTAATAACAATAATGCCCTACTCACTGGGGTATTGTAAAGATTTAATGAGATTATACATAGAAACTGCTTAGCATACTATTTGGCACTTAAATACTACAATCAGTTTTAGCTTTAACTGTTATTATTGTCATCACTGAGAATTCCTCCACTTACATCTCGAGCTCTTACATTTTGTGAGAGCATAACCTCCTCTCTGCTTTACTTTTCTTACTTCCTCATTTCATTAAAGCAACTTTTAAATCTTATCAGGGTCTTGCCCGTCCTTCATTTCTTGTTGGCTTCCTGTTAGGTTCTGAGTGGTACTTCCACAACCTCCCTCCCCTCTCCGGCTCCACCCCCATCTCCTCCTCCTCTCACTCTCAGGGGATTGCCTTGTCTTTCACCCTCTGAGATGATAAAGCTCTCTGACCTGGGATCCTTCAAAGTCTTCCCTCTCACTAAGCACCTCTGCTTTTTCCTTGTTTGGTATTTCATGAGCCATCTCTTTCTTTGCTCTTCTCACGGAGAGAGAGGACTGCACTTTTTCCTAATCCCAGTGAGTCTTTCCACCTATGCTCTTAACCCCCTCCCTTCCTAGTTCCTCTGAGACCATGATTCCACAAGTTTCCCAATCCAGTAGTCACACTCCTCATCCATTCTGTAAACTGGGTCTTGTAGAGAATCTCTCTTCCCCTAGCTTCCAGAAATCTGCATAATTCTGGTTCTTCCCCTAATTAGTCACCTCCCCCTCCCCTTTAAAAGACTCATTTGATATCTTCTTTCTTTTCCAGTCCGTAATTGTAAGCTATTCATTAGGCTCTGCCTATTGGGTTTTATTTTCCATTCTATACTCTCTCTCTAAGTGGTCTGCTTCACTCCCATATCCATGTCTTCTACAGCCATGTCTAGCTCCGTCATTACACACTGAAGATTCAGGTGCACATCTCCAGTTATCTGCTGGGTGTAAACATCATGGGTTCAGTTACATCTGAGTTGAGCTATCATCTCTGTTGTTATCATATCCCATCCACCAGCCCTCCCTCAATGTCTTTCTTTCTAACTTCCGTATTTTTGTTAATGGTGCCACTCTTCTCCCTTGTCCATAGGCTTGAAATTTTGGAGTCGGTGTTTAAATTTCTCTCTACAGTAATCATTGCATCTAATCAGTTGCCATTTTCCTTAGAGTCTATTTCCAGAATGTCTTTCGTCTCTGTCTCCTTCTTTATACTTCTGATGCCTCTAATTTGACTCAGGGCCTCATCTTCTTGGACTATTATAACACCTGCCTAAGTAATCTCTTCACTTCCAGATTCTCTTTATTCCAGTATAGTCTGTCTTTATACTGTTATTTGTTTGTTGCTTTCTAAAGTCAACTGTGTTCATGACTCAATTCATTCACTCAATAATTTATTCAATAATTCATTCATTTGTAAAATTTATTGAGTTCCTACTTTGCACCAGGCCCTACAGATAGGTAGATAAAATAAGACACAATATTGTTTACATAGAGTTATTAGCTAACTGCTATAATGTAAAACTCCAAAATCTCAGTGGTCCAACATGGTAGAGTGACAGCTCAGTGCAGATTTGAGGCAGTGGGAAGAGTTTCACATAGACTGTTGACGCCCAGTCTTGCCATCTAGTGGCTTTGTCATCTGCTAGAACTCTGGAGACCTCCCCCGAATCCTCTGCACTTGGTTTGCAGAAGAGGGAGCACATGAACGAACACATGAGAAGGCTGAGAGGCCAGGTCTAGAAGAAGCACACATCATTTCCACCCACATTTCACTGACAGAACTGTGTGGGGCTGGGAAAAGTAGTGTAGCGAAAGGCACCAAAGGAAAAGGAGAAGCAAGGATATAGATGAACCTGAGCAGCCCCCGACACTGAGAGCATACAGGGTTTTTGAAGGGCAGTCAAATAAACTGACAAGTGAAATACAATGCACCATAGCCCATTGATTTAGAAGCAGGCTTTGGGCTGGACTTTCAAGAAATCCTCAACTTTAGCTCCAAGAGACCTTGCCCAGTTTAACTCCTCGAGAAACCTGTGTGCTCCAAATGGAACTGCTTGTTCCTAAAGCAAACCTTGTGTTTTTTTCTCCTCTGAGTCTTTGTTTGTGAGTTTACCCAAGAATTTTCTTCTTTTACATCGCCATTTCACATGAAAAAATCCCACCGTTCCTTCAAGATCTGTCTCAAAGGCAACCATGAAATCTTCCTTGGCTTTTGTCCCCCTTTTAAAGCATCCACATCTCTCTGTGTGGCATATTGTTTATTCTGCATTATATCATAGTAAGGTCTTATCTCATTACCAGACCATGTGCTCTAGACGAAGTGTAGGCAAAGCTGCTGCTGCTCTTCGTTTCTCCTGAAACATGTAGCACAATGTCTTGAGCAAAACTGGAATATAAGACATATACTTTGTTAAACTGAATCCTTGTTTTTTGTTGTCATTTCTTATCTCCCCAACCATACATTAAACTTGGAAAGCTTAAGGCATTCCTAACAAAGTGCCTTATATGTGACCTTAATAGGCATTTGTTGCTTGGTTTATTGGGTAATTGACAAAGACAGAGCATGGCATAGAGATAGTGCAACGGATGCAAGCTCTTGTCCTGAACCTACGTACACTAGTTGTGGGACCTCAGGCAAGCCACTATGCATATTTAAGCTTCAGTTGGATCATCTATAAGGGTTGAACTAAATGATTTCCATGTTACTTTCTAGTTCTAAGAACTAGTTCTATGCCTTGCTGACTCCTCCAGGAACAACCCTAGAGCTCTGGTTTGGAAGCAAAATGGTTTAAAGAGAGCCCAGTTTTCTGGGCTAGAGTAAAGAAGTTAGGTAAAGAGAGAAGGATATGCTTGGTTATGTTGAATCATTGGATTATGGGCGGTTGAGGCTGAAAGAATGAAGGAGAGAGATCCTGATAGCCTGAGGAGAGAAGCTGAGTTCCGCAGAAGGATGAGTACCTGCAGCCTGAGGAATCTTGTAAAGCTGGGGTTTTCAATATGAATAGAGAAGAGGAGGGCTGCCATGCAGAGGGAGTTGGGAATTCATCAGGGTATTTTTATCAACATCATAACTGGCATTTCATCGTGGATGGAGCCAAGAACAACAGGCATCCTGTCATGCACTGGGCAACCCCACACATCAAAGAATTACCTTGTTTCACATGTAATTTTCAAATGTCCCACTGGACATGTATCTGGGTAAAAGACCTGTTTAGAATTATCTGAGCCTAAATCTATGTCATGTATAAACACCAGAATATTTTTTACACTGTTTTGAAACTCAATGAATTTTTCAGTAAAGCATCAATTCTGTAAATTGACAGAAAATAGTACTTTAGTTTGTTTGACACTTCACCAAAAGTTGTTCATCATTTTAGAGAATATATCATTAACACAATGCCACCGCACTGTTTGAATCATAATGAAATATTCCAGTATCAGTCCACATTCATAGCCAATGCTTTCCTGCCATTGCATGTAGAAGAACAGGCACCTGAAGACTCCATGCTTTCTTCTAGAATGCTACACTATGTGCCGTCTTCTAGAATAGTCGTGTTGAGTATTTACATATTGAAACCCTTTCCTTGGATTTCTCCTTCACATTATTACAAGTATGGTGCTACATGATTTTTCAAATTATGTGTAGAGGTAGGTTATATTATTTTTGAATTTCACTACAGGATAATAAATGGAGTGGTTTAAATACTTAATATAAAAAGAACATTAGATGTAATTGGACCAAGAACCAGTGATGTAAAGAATTGAAGAGTTCATGAGAAGCTGGCCATGGGAGATCACATGGAATCCAATCGTATTCTCACTGGGACAAGATTAGTCTTTGAGTCTGCTATATGGACTTGCAAAAGTGTAACTTTTATGTAGTTTGTCCATTTCTAATATCCTCACATCTACAAAAGAAATCTTCTCCTAGTAACTAATATCTGCTTAATGTTTTATGGTTCACTGAATATTTACGTTTAAAATATTTCATTTGGTACTCAAAGCCAGCCCATGAGGTAGGTGTGGGTCGTTATTATTATCCTTGTTGTTTGCTGAGGAAATTGACATAATTAGAAGTTAAGTGACTTGCTTTAGATTATCTCTCTGGTATGGGGTGACACGGCACCTCTTAATCACATTTCCTTGTTGTGTCACTCACAATGGAACGATGACATTTTATTGGTACAGAATGCACAAACAAACATGGATTCAAGCATTGATTCTGAGTCTCAATGGCGTTAACATCTTGTCAAATTTCTCTGAGAATAAAATGAGGTACTACATGTAAAGTGTTAAGAACAGAGTTTGGCGTATTAAAGGTATTCAGTACTGATGAATTCCTTTCCAAACTCCACGGCTACAAGAAGGTATACTGGTTATTTTCCTGGATGCAGAAAAGACTAGGTGTACTAGATGGTCATGGAGAGCTGGAAGCATCTTGTGTACAAGTGGAAAGTGTAAGGGTAGGCTTATGTAGAGATCTTCTTGCTTTGTCAGTGGTCAAGACATATCAAGGGAGCATTCTTCCCATGCTAGGATTTAAAAATTTTCCCTTTTGCGCCATCTTCGCTAAAGCCACTATGCACTCTTCACCTAACCTGAATAGGTGCGAGAGCTTGACCTTTGGTCTGTAGCTTACTCCCTACTCAGTTGCATTGGTGGAAAACTTCGCAAACAGGAAGATGTCCAACACAGCCCTGGAAGTCTCAGAGGAGGCACTGAGGCCTCAGCACACAGCTTTGAATTTCCTCCCACCCTCATTTCCCAAGCATGGACTCAACCTGAATAAACAGAGGTGGAGGAAAACAGGAAGGGGTAAAATAACCCAGCGGAAAGTAAGCACCCAGCAAAGACATAGCCCTGCTCTCTGCCTACTCAGCTCTGCTGGAAGTTGAGAAAATCAGAATCTATGAGGAAAGGCCTCTCTTGTGTTTCTGGTCTGTCTCCAATTCTGCCCACTCTTCTGCCAGCACACCCTGGTGTGTGTACATACACATGTACACAGACCCCTACTTCATCACTCCCTGTCCTTCCCATGTAATAGGCTGACCCTGTGGAGGTTCTGCAAGACCGCAATACCTTTGTTCTAAATTAAACTGTGGGTAGAATACCATTAATTAAGATTTTTCTGCAATGTTCATCTCCCTCTTTGTTAAGCTTTTCACCAATGCTGTTGACGGTGGAGCTGGCTACTGAGTCAATCACGCCCCTAAATGAATCACTGTCATGAATGAAAAGCTTTGGTCTAGTGGTCTGGAGTCTCAGATTGTTGTTTTAGCTCTGCCTCTGCCACTTTTGAAATCAGATCAGTCCTCTTAGCTTCAATTTCCTTGTTTGTCAAATGACAGTATAGGGCTAGATGATATCTAGGGAAAGAAAGCAAGATGCTGTTTATCCTAGTCTAAGGCTGTGAGCATGCAGAAGCCCTTCAGCTATTGAAGACGTGCGGACTTTTCTCTAATAAAAGGAGACATGGTATCCACTTGAGAGGACATTCCTCTGTCTGAGAGATAGACTGTCTCTGGGCAGCCAATCAAGTCTCTCAGATCTCCCAAAAGGCATCTCTGGGAAATGTGCAGAGCTAGCCTTTCGTTATTTTGAAAGTATAGTTGCAGGCTTTCTATCACTAATTTAAAAGGGGAAATGCATAACTGGTCCTACACATAGCAAAATACGCATTCTGTAACACACATTTGCTATTGCTTCTCTAAATTTCTACCATTCAGGAAAGATTGTTTTTAGGGGAGGAGAGAACTGGATAACTTCATCCCCACACATACTTCTTGCTCTAAACATGGCCATTATCCCAACATTCCTTTGCATGTGAGGTTTGTTGAACATGACCTATAAGCTAACATGATCTATAACCTCAAGAAACGTCTAGAAACTTCAGACCATTTCTGTCCTGGCACAGGAGCATGGGGCTGGCGTTGTTGGCTGAATGCCTCCAGAAAGTTGGCCAGATAGCCATAATCAAGGTCATTGTCTCCTCATAGAGGGTAAGGGACCAATCGTCTTCCCATGACTTTGGGCAAATGCATTTTTATTATCCCACTCCTGACAGATGATACATGCCTTTCCATCAAAAAAGGCTCTTTCCTGTAACCCCTCTTGGGCATTCATAGGCTTTTGGCCTGAGGTTTGCTTCTTTTAGCTTTCTTGGTGGGGTTGGGGAGGGAGAAGCTACGTTTTCAGAGCCTTCTGTCAATACACAGGCAGGTCTTCTCCAGACAATGAGACCATTGTGCGGGAGAGGAATGCCTGCTTGGGCAGATCCCAGGTGGCTTGATTTAGGAGGTGTGCAATATCTGCCAGGCACCACAGAACCATTGTGATGCCAGTTATGTGCCAGAGGAATCCGGGATTCAGAGAGAGATTTAAGCACCTGGATTTGCGGACTTGCTCTGTAGGAGCTTGGCTGGGTTTCTAATTTCCCTCCCCGTTTTAGGGCATACATTCCTCAGTAGCTGGTGATGTGTTCAGTACGGTCTTAACCTGTGCAGACTTTCCAAAGTTGTTTTTTGACTCCTTTCCTCATTCCATCTTTACCAACCTCCAGAGCTTCCGGATCTCAGGACCCCATTGATCCATGTTTCCTTTGAACTCTTTGCTCTGGGACTGAGGTCAAACTGTCCCCTTCAAGGCCTTGAGAATGTGACTGTTGCCAACTCATTTATTAGTCTGAAGAGAGTCATGGTGCCATCAACATACCATGAAGGTAGTCTTTTGGAGGTGATGATGTTAGATTTAAAACTGAAGTTTATGTTTACAAATTACTAGCACAAGCACCTTAAAGAGGTTCAAAATGTGAGTAAGCCACCATCACTCCTGTTGGTTTCAGAAACATACCATTTTTATCATGATTTAGGGATCAGAAGGCACGATCACTGTTACTCAAATGTCACCATGTTCTCCTCTCTACCCCTCTCCTCATCCATGCCCTGGAAGATAAATTACTGAAATTCATATTATTGAAACTTGTACTTCTGAAAATGTAATTCTTTGTGCACTTATCTCCTCCCTATAAGTAACTTAAGCCAAGGGATTATATATTTTCATTTTTTTCTTTAATCAGTGTTCAGAAAGGGCCAGGCCTTTAACAGATATTTATCAATAAATGAATGGGATTCATGCATTCTGATTTTAGACATGAAACTAAAGAATATATACCCTTAGTCAAGTAACTTTATATTTATAAGCTTAGAATTCCATGTCTAAAAAAATAAAAGGTCTTTCATTAGATAATTTTGGAAGTTCCCTTTAGCTCCAACATTCTAAGACCCTTTTTCTTATTTAGAGACGACTGGGATTAGGTTTTGCCCAAATTTGATTACTATAAAAGGGAAATGATAAAGCTGAAGTTACAGGATTATCTCAAGAAATATTCAGAATAAGTTAGGTCAATGGCATTTCTAAGGCCCATTACGAATTATAACATCTTTCTCCATGATGGGTGGTGCAAACCGCACTGTTAATTCATGCATCAATAATTCTATGCCTGGGGCTTAAATTGGAGAGAGGGAAGCATAAATGCTGGCAGTGCTCCCCACATCTGTCAAACATCTAAAAATGGGTGAAATGTGGTTAAGATAGGTATAAATGGTAGTCTTTAAAGGGAAATATAGGATTAATGTATTACTTTTTTTTTTTACTTGCCTTCTTAGGATGAAGAAAAGAAGAGATTTTGAGCAAATTGTAAGAAAAGTCGTGGCTACTGAAATGCCTCAGAAGGAGGTGACACATAGGAAAAACAGATTCTCTATCTCTCAGATGACATCTCAATCTCACTGCTGTCACCACTTGGAAAGAATTTTGAGTGAAAGAAGTAAAATGCTTTTCTAGTAGAAATCCCTTGTCTGAAGGTCACAGAAGCCTACATATGGATTGGCTGCGGGAATTCTGATACCCTCCCAGATATTTTTAAAGAATCCAGAAGAGTCCAGGATTAAAGGGAAGAGCAAGGTAAGGCTTGCTCTGTCCCATCACCTTTTGTACCCAATTCCTGCTCTGGAATAAATCACTGGCCTCTCCTTTCTCTTTAGCCTCCCACAGCTGCTGTCCCTCTCCCCATGTGTGGACATACCCTTCCTTCCTCATTCAGCCAGTAGCATGAGCCCAATGCGATTGAGTGTAAGAGACTTAGTGGTATTTGGGGTGAAATGGAGGGTACTACATTGTAGCACAAAATAACATAGAACCTGAAACCATGTTTTCAGCCTTCTGGCCAAAGAAAAGTTTTCAGAAAATATCTTCGCCCTGAGGCTGCCTGCTCTTGCCAGGGGTTGGGGCCACTTTCACCATGGCTCTAAAACTTTCCTCTTTTGTTTTCCATTTCAGGATTCCCATTCTCTTCCAAAGCATCAAAGAGAATATAACCAGAATTTTTTTTTGCTGGGAGAAGATTGTCACTGAGCTAACATCCATTCTGGTTTTCTCTGAGGACCATTGTAAAAATTCATTCTCTTGGGTACTATCTCAAGCCTAATAAGAAGAATTTAGGGAGGGAGGTAGGTTGAGTTCAGAGCCCATGATTCTGAAATTCAAAGACTCTTCTTGTGTTATACTTAGGTAGCTGGTCTCAGGACAGGCCATTAGGAGCTGCTGCCAGAGAGCACAATCCTCCGCTAAGGTCGGTCCAATTTTCTCTGTCCTCTCACTCCTTCCCTTCCCGCATTTATATCTTGCCTCTTTCTCTCCCCTCTAGTTTTTGCTCTCTTTCTCCTTTCCTCTATCAAATATTAGGTTCTCCATATATGCGTGGTACTTGGCCCCATACTTTCATTGCTCTGCCCCATTGTGTTCGAGTCACCCCCCTTCAATTCTCCTTTGCCTTTTCCCAGCCTCAAGCACCCCAAGTCGCGAGGAAACAACCCGGTCTCCAGAGGCATCTATCTGAGCATTTCCTGAGTCATCATCTCCCCTGTCGTATCCAAATGTTTCAGGGGCATCTGGGGAGGCTTTCCAAAGTTACTATGATGTTGCTTGGGAAATATTAAGATATTAATCCTGTATCTCATTTGATGGTGACCATTATCATTTGCAGTGGAGCTGCTCTTCACGTCTATCTTCTTTTAGAATCACTTATAGCTGAAAATGTCTTAAGGGCCCAATGAGGCTGAATGTAAAATACATAATATCTTCTAGATAAAAAGACAATGGGGAAGATCCGTCTCTTAGGAAACCAGCTTGCTACCTCCAGGGACAGTACCCAGGAAGAAGGTAGTCTACTCTATTTCTCTCTTTCATTTTTTAAACTTTAATGTAATGAAAACCACACCATTTAGAAATGATTCTAATTCCAGTTTCAAGTCCCATTCTTTTCTCCAGTCATGCACGTATTTAGACTTTTTATTCCTTCATTAACACAGGGAAAATGCAAACCATTACGACAGTTAGCAGATATAATTTTAGACAAATACAACTTCTTATCAAATAAGCCTGCAATAAGTATTTGATGAACAGGGCTCTTCAATATAATTTCCAACACTAATTTAATGAGAAGTATCAAATGAATTTTTTTTATTCTGATATCTCCCATGAGACAAATGATACTTTGCAGACCTATTTTTAACAAATGAATTATTGACTTAAACTGGCACAATTAATCACAATATAATGGGATCAGGGGATGTTAGGGGCTCATTCATCATAGCTGATGATGAGTACCGACTCTTCCGAGAAATGAAACTCTTTAATCACTCCTAGATTAACAGTTACATGCTTTCAAATTTCAATCATAGGAAACTGGCAGCATAGAATGAAAAGGAGCCAGTGCTGGAGGAGAAAATGAAAGGGAGGCGTGCAGAGTTAGTTGTCTGGAGTCAGAAATCCAGCTCTGGCCAGTACTCCTCAGTGGAGACAGAAAAATGATTCATTAGAAAGGCAGTGTTGGTAATGGGCTGAGAACCGGGATGGCAATTAAAATTCTTGAGATCTGGGTTTAACTCTTCCATTGAAAGTCTGTGTGACTCCTGATAAACTGCCTGACTTCTCTGAACTTCATCTTCTTCATCAGCAGGATAAATATAGTACAAATTTCCAAGTAAAATTCACATGAAGATCAATTGAAATAACTACATTCTCATGTTTTGGACAATTTGAAAGCAGAGTTCCTTTCATGTGATCCTTAAAATTGCTTTCAGGACTGTTTGTTTTCCATCCTCAGGGCCCATGCCCATGCCTATTAAATGCTTTTGACTAATTAAAGAAAGATATGCAAGAAAATGTGAAAGCCAAATAAGGAACTCAGGAGAAGACAGATCCACTCATTCAGCTTCTATGTGAAGCCCTCCTGTTATTGAAAGATGAGTCAGATGTGACTCCTGTTCTCCAGGAGTTCACAAGAACGTTGGGCAGACAGCAAGAGAGTCACATCGTCTGGACACAAGCAAAAGTGAAAAAGCAATAAGATTTTATTTTGTTTTTTTCAATCAAAGACATGCACATGGTTAGAAAAAATCAAATGGTCCGGAGGCTGCTCCCTTCCCTCACTGGGGACTGTGCTCCCAGTTTGCCCATTTTGGTCCAGGTTTATGCCTGTTTTCCCAGCATAAATATTAATAACACCTGCTTTTACTCTCAAAAGTGTCTAGGTTTGGATAATACATTTTTAGTCAACCTAATTTTAACCATGTCTTTCTTCTTTATTTTATTTTTTATTTTTATTTTTTTATTTTGAGGAAGATTAGTCCTGAGCTAACATCTGCCAACAATCTTCCTCTTTTTGCTGAGGAAGACTGACCCTGAGCTAACATCCATGCCTGTTTTCCTCTACTTTATATGTAGGAGACCTGCCACAGCATGGCTTGACAAGCTGTGTGTAGGTCCACACCCGGGATCCGAACCAGCGAACCCTGGGCCACCAAAGCGGAATGTGTGAACTTAACCACTGAGCCACCAGGTTGGACCCTCTTTCTTCTTTTTTGTTATTGCCAAATATCTACATACTAAGATCATATCGTTATTTTCTTTAGTTTATCGTTGTGATATATAGTCCACTTACTCTCTATCTTTCTGGATTTGGCATAGCTCACACCTCCCTGGCCTTCCCTCCCCTCCTTCCAATATAGTTAAAGAAGAATTCCGAGTTTCTTCTTTTGTCCCCCTCTGCAAGTTCAATCATCATATTTAAACCTCGTATCATATTCTGTAAGGATAGGTCTCTTGACTCCCCATTCTTCTGTTGACACTCCCCCATTCCCTCCGTTTCTACACCCTCTCTACCTGTAACTGGCATCTGGTAGACATTTACTTTTATATCATCAAGGTTGATTTTTCAACCTGATATTTTACTTCTTCTTATTTGTACATTTGCTGCTCTTTGTCCTTGATCGCTTTTCCCCAATGTGTTTTTCTGGGAAACTCCTCATTCTCCAAGAAACTGCTAAAGTGCCTATCCCTTTGTGATGTTTTCATTCAGTATTCCAGCAAAGCCAGGCATTTCAGCTTTGTGCTTCCACAGATTCCAACAGATTGCACTCTACTGCAATCACTGCTTTAGATTGATATGGCTTCTACTGAATCTGAGCTCCTTGGGAAACACTTCAGTTCTTGGAAGATAGTAATGGTTAAATAAATATTTTTGGCTTATATACAAATAAATAAAAATCAGTTCTGATTCAAAATGGCATTTGGCTTAAGGTTCCTGGTGTAGCCTCTTACTAAAATATTTTTTACTGAAATACTGATTAACGTATAGAATAATATTTTTAAAAATCTCATACCACCACTAAAATTTGGTACTGACAGATAACCAGTGGCAAATACTTTATATAAGCAGGACTGCTTATGTACAGATGCTTTAGAAATGAGGATTTGAGTCCAGACAAGGAGCCATGACTAGTGAGAGAAAGAGAATAAAGAGAATAAGGAATGAAGAGAGGAGGAAAGAAGCTATAAACACTAGCAATGATGATGTAACCAGTTATATAAAAGAAGATCATTTCTTCTTTACTTCCTCACTTGGATCATTTCTTCCTTATGTCCCTATATATATATATATATATATATATATATATATATATATATATGAACACCACTCCAAAATGGATGAAATGATGTGGGACTTTTGTATCCTCTTCTGGGAAGAGGAATTTCTTCAGGTTGTATGATGGACATATTTGCACCACATTAGGTGGAGCATGATTTTTCTATTGTCTTTGTTTACAAGTTAATATAGTCAAAAGATGCATGTATGGATGCCATGGTGACGAGAGTCGGACCGTACTGGATTGTTTTATCATCAACCTGGTTGACATTTCCTGGAATTGTTTTCCCAGTGAGAGATGGCCACAAGAGGTACTTGCATGAAATTTGAGAGGCAGAAGATTATGTGGTTTACTTGTGGTATCAGACTCACAGGGGCCAGAGAATTCCAGCTTATCTTCGGGTCCTTCAACTCCACATCCAGATTTTTTTTTCAACTGCCACCTCCATGTCCAACTTTTTTTCCAGCTGGTCTATAGCCAGACACTTGACTGTGACCTACAGATTTCTTCCCCCCCGGCCTCACTGTAATGGCTGGATGTACTAGCCTTCTCAAAGTAGGCTGTTATTGACTTCTCTGATCCTCCAAATCCCCTTTCAGACAGCCCTCCCCAGGTCCTCCCATAATTCTGTAATGTCTAATTGCTGTAGTAAATCCCTTACCTAAAATTCATAGTTGTTCTGCTGATCTAACTAAAAGCTGATTGGCACAGATATCATTGGAATAGAAAAAGAAAAGAGTTTTGGAGACTAAGGGACAAATTCACAGAATTACAATGGTAGTAGGAGACTGTAACACATATCTGTGCATCTTTTATAGATCAAATAGAAAAAAAACCAAGTTATGTGAGTCCTGAATAATATAATTAATAAGGCTATATGTGTAAATGTGTATATATTGATCTTTGTGTCCTGCAGAGAATATCCTTTATTTTCATTATCAATAAAACATTTATGAAATATTGATCTACATTATGTTCCAAAGAAAAACTTGAAAAATAATTATGAAAAGCAGGAACTTGGGTCCATGGATAAGCCTGGAGTATTTGTAACAGGTGCCGCAGATGATGGTATCATGCTGAACGAGAACTGATAAAGACACAAGTCGGTATGACTCAGTAAACATTTGCTTAATACTATGACCCAGGTATTGTGTTAGATGAGGGGGCTTGTGAAGATAGTAGACATGACCCTTACTTCCAGGTGCTTGCAGTCTCACAGCGAAATGGGGAGGGCATTCTAAGCAGGCCACAGAGCATGGACATAGCTCAGAATTGAGTTGAGCATTTCGTGTCCTGGGTATCGCTCTGGGAGGTGAGGATATTTGTGTCAGGGGGCAATTGGAATATGACTGTTGATATATGAAGAAAACAGAGAGTGAGAAACCTAAAAGCATATTAACTTTATCCACTTGAAAGTGGGAGCTACTGGTGGCTTGAGAGGCTTCAGGAAGATTAATTCAGGGGCATGTAGAATAGACTGGGGCAGGAGAGCAGGACTGGGGATGAACTGGAGCATGAGGTTCCAATAGAGGGAGGGCTTAGCCGAGGTTAGTCACACTGTGACTCGAAACACAAGACTGAATGCAGCTAGTGTTTGAAAAACTTAGGGACTTCTCTGAGATAGGGAGGAGGGAGTCAAAAGTGACTACACCAATTTAAAACCTGGATGACTGTTAGAATGGCATTACCATTGACAGAAATAGGTTATTAGTGTTTTCTAGTTTCTCAAATGCACTATCAAACTTTCGAGAAAGGTAACAACTTAAACACATGTCTAATCTCTGGCCTCTAGAATCCTACAAAAATTATCTATAGATAGCAATGGGGTTTACTGTGCATTGAAAACTAGGCAAGGATGCAGGACAAGCTCCAGAAACTTGGAGGAAATTTTTACTGGGGAAAGTGAAGGTAGAAATCTACCATATCTGGTCAACGCGATATGCATTTTCCTGCATACGAGAGAGCAGTTTGTCTGGGAAGTAAACTGAAGAGACCCAATTATATCTTTCCAAACCACCACCCACCAAAGGTTCTAAGCAGTGGCCGTTTGAGAATGGATGTACTGTGGGATGGTTGGGAGGACATCTGTATTCCAGCAGTTTGTCCTTGGTACCAGAGGCTGCACCAAGCAAGTAGCTGATGGCAGTTTCTAATCCTGGCATAAACCACAGAGAATGGAGACTGGTCCTTACTGATTTCTGACTGCCCTGCCACACCTAAGGAAAGTTCACCAGCAGAAAGGTCAAGTCACCCTCAAGTTACCTCCAGCTTGGCACCTCCACATTTCTCTAATGCTGGTGAATCCCTGCATTGGTAAAGTAAAACCAGTGTAGGGGACAGCCCTGTGGTGTAGTGGTTAAGTTCGGTGGTCCAGGCTCATGGATTTGGATCCCAGGCACAGACCTACACCCCTTGTGAGCCACGCTGTGGTGGCAACCCACATATAAAAAGTAGAGGAAGATTGGCACAGATGTTAACTCAAAGCTAATCTTTCTCAAACAAAACACCAAAAAGATTGGCAACAACCAGTGTAAATCTGTACCTTTCTCTTTTCTTTTTGGGGGCCTAAATGTTAAAAAAAATTTTTTCTTTTTTGGCAAAGGCTCACGGAATCTATGATGGGATTGTGTTAACTCTTGATACCTTAGTATCTTCAACTTGTAACAATCATATACAATCCACTTTTAAAGTGCACACATGGAGAAAAATGACCAGCATAAAAATATTCTGCAGTTTAAAAGGAAATCATTCTGTGGAATCAGAGCAAAATTCTTCTCATAAAACTCAAACTGCTGCAATAAACAGAGAAATCATTGAACGTTTCTGATGTATGTTCTCTCTCTATCATGTTCAAGTAGATATTACATTTGTGAAATTCGAGCAATATCATAGAAAGGTAACAATACGAAATCATGAAAGACCAAATGAAAATTTCAAAAATGTGAGTATAGAATTTAAAACCTCAATGTAGCAGAAAACAGCTGAATGGATACTGCCAACAAAGTATGTTCGTGAACATGAAGGAAAATCCTAAAATTTCTCCCAGAACTCAAAGGGAAAAACAATACATGAAAGTAGTGAGGGAGCTATGAAAGATGTGATCTGGGAAATCAAAAATATTCTTAGCAGTGGGTGCAGAAGAAAGTAAAGCAGACGGAATAGCAATAGAAGAAAAGTCTTCTGGGAGAGTTCACAGACCATTAAGAGCAGTGAATGAAGACAATGCCTGGACATGCATGATGGAATCTGGTATCTAAGAGTAACTCTCCCCGTCGAGATCAATGTCCATCTTCCTACCAGAATCTGGACACCACATGTTCCTATTCAAAAATACCAACATTTAAAATGTGTAAGTGGAACTCAATTGCTTGGTTTTTGAAATTAGTTGATAAGTTTTAATATAATTCGAATCAAAACTCTAAAAGGATTATTTTTATCTTGACAAAGTGATCAGAAAGCTCATCTGGAAGGTTTTTGAAATGTTCTAAAACGGATAATATACACAGGGAGTTGCATTTCTAGATTTGATAAGATTTTGTAAAGCTGGCGTAATTAAGCAGGGATGATAATGGAATAGAATAAAAAACCCTGGGACACACCACAGTGTTAATCAGATGATAAAGCTACTACTTTAAATCAATGAAAAGAGATGATTATTGAATAAATGGTACTAGACCACCTGGCTAACTATTGAAGAAAACAGCTAGACACCAGCTTCATATCATTTGCCAAAGAAATTTTTTTTTTTTCCTGAGCTCAAGCCAGGGTTCTTTTTTCAAACCTAAGATTTTTTTTTTTTTGCAAGGGAAGATTATCCCTAAGCTAACATCTGTTGCCAATCTTCCTCCTTTTGTGTTTGCTTTTCTCCTCAAAGTCCCAGTACATAGTTGCGTATAGCTGTAAGTTCTTCTGCTTCTTCTATGTGAGCCGCCACCACAGCATGGCTTCTGACAGATGAGTGGTGTAGTTGCACGCCTGGGAAATGAAACCAGGCTGCCGAACTGGAGTGTGCAGAACTTTAGCCACTAAGCCATCATGGCTGGCTCAAGCAAATTCTTGATGGATTAAAAATATAAACATAAAACATGAACTAATTAATGACCTAGAAGAAAATGTAGATAAGCATCTATCTGATATCACATAATAGCAAAATGAGAAACTACAGAGGAACATATTGATAGATTTTAAAACATAAAAAAGTTAAAATCCGTATTCACAAAAAAACTATAAACAAAGTTAAAAGATTTATGACAATTGGGAGACTATTTGTAACATGTATAGACAGAGGTATAAATACAAAGCTATGAATATATTTGAAAATTCAGGAGAAAAAAAATTCCATAGAAAAATGGGTGACAAACATAGTAAATAAGCATTTACAACATAGGAAGAGATATAGTGGTCAATAAATATACAAAGTTAAATTAAACCTAGCGTATTGGTTTGCTATGAATGCTGTAACAAAATTAGCACAAACTTTGTTGCTTAAAACAACAAAATTATTCTCTTACAGTTCTAGAGTCCAGAAATTTGAAATCGGTGTCACTGGGCCAACATCCAGGTGTCAGCAGGCTATGCTCCCTCCGGAGGCTGTGGGGGAGAATCCTTGCCTTGCTTTTTCTAGTTCTGGTGGCTGCCAGCGTTCCTTAGCTTGGTTGCATCATTTCAATCTGTGCCTTTGTGGTCACAGTGCCCCTCTTCTGTGTGTCAAATCTCCCTCAGCCTTTCTTTTATAAGGACACTTGTGACTACATTTAGGGCCCACCCAATAATCCAGGATAATCCTTCCATCTCAAGACCCTTAACTTAGTCACATCTGCAAAGATCTATTTTCCAAATAAGGTGACATTTCCATGTCCCAGGGATTAAGGCCTGATATCTTTGGGAGTCATTGTGCAGCCTATTACATCTAACTACCAGAAATTGTTTTCAGAGGACAATTTGGCTGGATACATCAAGCTACTTAAAAGTGCTCAAGTTATTCACTTTTTAGATATTTTTCAAATGGAGGTAATGAAAGCTGTAAACAAAGAAGATCATCACAATATTATTATAGTACTATTTATAACAGTTAAACATTGTAAGTCACCTGAATGTTTGGAATTTTTTTATAAAGGTACAGTATACCAAGCATACACTAAAAATCATTTCTTGAAGAACTTGCAAAACACACATGAAAAAATGCTAAGCTTGCAAAGCAGGGAAACAAACTGTATGATTCCATCTTGTTCAATACATTTAAAGACAAATAAATGCATATATTCACACGTGCAACTGGAATGACATACTCCACAACATTAGGAGTGGATATCTCTGGGTTGTGAGATTATGAGTGATTTTTATTTTCCTTTCTGTATTTTTTCAATTTTTTTACATTCTTTTGCAATGAACATATTTTACTTTCTTTTAATTCTATGATCCCTGTTAGACCAAGGTCTTAATCACTTAACCGCTTAATCATTTGACCACAGAGGGTGAGCTGAGCTGGGCATCCTGAGAGAGGAGGGGGCAGACAATGACTTTAATTTTTTATGCTAAATTGATAGTGGGACATCCAGATACCACTTGTACGTGGACTCTGGGGTCTTGGGGATCAAGTGGGGCTAACGGTACAGACACAACCATCTCTGGAGCTGTGCATGGTGAAGCCCTAGAGGGGCCGAGCCAGCCTTCTGGCCTGCTAATAGTATTCTGGTCTGCGTTCTCATGGAACACCAGCATTCTGCACCCAGATTCCTTCCACTTTCCTCTCTTTGTGTGTACGTTTATGCGCACTGGCTGCCTGACCTGCAATAATTCATTTGTCCAATAAGGTACTAATAAATTAAGATCTATGTTTCATATTGAATGAAGTATTTAAAATTATCATTATAGTTATATTTCATTTATTTCTTTTTCTTATTTTGTGAAATGTTCAATGAGCGCAACCTTCCAGGGTTGCCTGTCCCTAAACAATGGAGAGTAAAACCCAACACTCAGCTCATGGGGCATATCTCAGTCCTCTATGCCCAAAGACACCTGAAAGTGAATCAGTTTCAAACCCTGTGTTGCAAAAGAGAACATGACATGAGCTATGACGGTTCCGGGGGATAGCATATCACAGAAACAGAGACAACTTGCTGTAAGAGATATCTACATTTGGCCTCCAGGAGTGTAATTTTTCCTTCTGTCTTGAGCAAACTCGTATGAACTACAGAATGGCATTTTGCAATAACTGCAGAGCTGAATGCTGGGCTCTGGGGGAAAGAATGAGAGTACAGAAGCTAGCAGGTCACAGAGTGCTTGGACCCTGCTTCCTGAGCATAATCCTGAGGAGGCGGCACAGATCTATAAAGGTAATTTTTACAGAAACTCTGAGAACGCAGCAGAGTCTGGAAATAAAAGAAATCACAAATATTGTAGCACAAATGAAGCTAAGAGGACAGGGCTGGAGCAGAAAGGGGCATATGGATATAGAGATGACTTAACATCACCTTGCTTAGACCAATCGCAAGGACCAGGAAGGGAGAAGTGCACTTCAGTGGGTGTTCCTCTAGGTAGAGGATCGGAGTCCAGATGTCTGCCCCAGATGTCTTGGCATTGCTTAATAGACGTGAACTGGGATGCAACCCCAGGAAGGCAGGAAAACAGGAGGGCTGAAATGACTCAGATGAGTTTCTACCTCTTCAGTGGAATGGGAGCTCAAATTGTTATTAAACTAATTTTGTGGGCTGGATTCATGCTGCTGAACCAGTGTGCCCGTCGGCTGGGTCACCTTCCTGCTGGAATGAGGCAGAGCTGGAGAGAGAAGGCAGAGAGGATGGGCGCGGGGAAACGGAAGCGCAGCCTTTCTGCAGTACTTTTTGCTGTGCATCGCAGTCTGCTCACAGCCAGGGTGGAGAGGAGGTGCAGGCCTGGAGGTTTGTCCTCTTGAGCAAAGCCTGAACTTTAACGGGAATTGAGGCCGTCCCTGGATGTCTCAAGCGAAGCTGGTAACCAAAACTGCTTTTATTTATGGGCATGTCAGAAAGTTAGAATTGAGGGGAGAGGCCTTGGTTTATAGAGAAGAGGAAATCCAGGGGCCCAAACATCAGGCTGGCCGTATTTTCATTCACTGGTTCCATTTAACAGCTTCTCACAACATATGCAGTTTATATTATGGTATCCGGCACATGTAGACTTTGGCTGGGGTTATCCTCCTGAGTTCAGAATTTATGATCGTGCAAATAGACATTGAAGCAAAGAGTAGTCACACCAGAATAACCAGAGAGAAAAGCCTTTGTTCTATTTCTTCTGGGTCATGTTAACTCTGTCCTCACCAAAAGAAGAACAAAGGGATCTCTTTTTCCCCAAAAAGAGGCTGGGCAGGAAATGAATACTCTGAGATTCAGCTCTGGACTTGGGGAAATGTAGCTTCTCGTTCTTTCTCTTTCAGTTCCCTGGAGCAGAAGGCTTAAGAAGGAAGGGAGGCCACTGAGCCCTTTTTCGGCTCTAAGAAAAATGAGGTCATTTGAGCAAGGAAAACAGCAGACTGGTCATTTAATAGCAGGCCCCAGAAACCATATAAATACTTCCTCATTAGAGCAGCCCAGCATTTTACAGCCAAACTCAAAACAGGGGCCTTTGAAGTCAAAAGGAGTCAAATTTGAGTAAAGGCTGTGAGCATGTCAGTTTCACTGAGGAATGCTGTTACAAAATGCTTTTGTGGGGTTTATCCAGTCACTGTGAAATTACATTTAGTTGATGTGAGAGTAATTGTCGGGTGAGGAAACCTGGTTAAAGAAAGAGAAAATTACACCATTGCCTGGATATGATGATTTATGTAATTATCTGGATACCACTTGCAAATTATAATGAAGTTCTGTAACGTTCCCTTCCAGTGTACCTACTTTTTACACTATCAGTGCATCTTTGTGCTCAAGAGTTTGAGGCAGCATCAAGCACAACCCAGGGCTCCTTTTTGCATTTTCACTATCAGGGAAAACAGAAGAGATGATGGGAGAGAGCCAGCATTTAATGGATCACTTACCATTGGCCAGATACTGTTGAAACACTTTATTATTATTTCCACTTTATAGATGAGGGTGTTGAGGTTCTGTGAGGTTAAGTAATTTCTCCAAGATCACACAGCTAGAGAGAAGCTGAGCCTGCTTTAAAACCAGGTCTATCTTCCTTTCTTCCTTCAGTCCTCGTCCTGCTCAACTCCCCCTGACTTTTGAGCTCACCACCTCTACACTGCTTTTGGTGGAGCCACCAAAAATGTGAGTTGCCAAATTTACTAGCATTTTCAAACATTTTGCTCCTTTGTTGGCAGTATTTCACACTGTTAACCGCTCACTCCTTTCTTGAAACTCTTTTCTTCCTAAAGTTTGGTGACTGTGTTCTCCCTATTAAGTGCTGACCTCTTTGGCTTCATTTTATCTGATATAATTATAACAGATAATAATATTTGTAGCGGTATTTATAAAGTGCTTCCTATGTTCTAGGTACATGTCTCTCATTTAAATTTCACAGCTGCTCTGTGAGGTAGTTCTTCTTATTATTAGCACTATTTAGCAGAGGAGAAGTCTGGGCCTCTGAAGGGTTTAGTGAATTGGATCAAGGGACACAGTCACTAACGTGTGGAGCCAGGATAAAAGCTGAGGGCTCTCAGGCTCTCGTCACCTGCTGGCTGGCATCCCTGTGCCTATCCATCTCCTTTGCTCTCTTCTCTTCTCCCTCTGCACCTTCCCTGAATAATTCCACTCAACGTCACACTTTCATCTACCTCTTAAACACTGAGGACTTCTATATCTCTCTTGGACTCTAGACCTCGTGCCCAGCTGCCTAGATGGACATTGTCACCTGGACGTCCCCAGTGGCCTTCACACTGAACATGCCCCACACTGTTCCCTGTCAGCCTCCTTGTCACCTTTGGTGCCGTCATCTTTCATGCAATTGTTCCACTAGAAACTGGGAGGAGTTCTTAGAGTCCTCCCTCTCGTGACTTGCTCGTATCCAAGCCAAGACGTCTAGAAGAATCTTCCTAAATATCTCTCTCATTCATCACATCCATTCCCTCTGCTCTCACAGCCTTGACTTGAATACAACTTCTCGGCTTCCCTCATTTACCCCGTTCAGGACTCCCCTTACCTGTTTTCCTGCTCTTTAGCCCGAGGACCTCTGTCTAATCTGCACTTTGTGTTCTTTCCAACATTAAGTCTGATTATATTACACTGAATTCTTCAGGTTCATCACAGCATGACAGGAGTTTCCTTTTTTCTTTTTTTTTAAAGTAAGAGGATCCTGTTTGCATTGAAAACTTATGAGAAACTCTGATAAATACGACAGATAAAAGTTGGAGAACAATTCGCTGAGACTTGTCTGCTTGGCCTCCACTTCTTCCCTGAAAGGGCTTCATTCACTCACTCATCTGTGTGCGAGCACTGTTCTAGGCCCTGGGAATAAACCAGGGAGCAAAGATCAACCTAAGTCCTGCCTTCAGAGGGCTTACATTCTAGTCATGGTAGACATACAAGGAGATAGTGAGAAAACTAATAAATAAGGGAATGTGTAATATGTTGGATGGCATGAAGAAAAAATAAGCTTGATGAGAGATTAGGAAAACCTGAGGTGGGGGTGGGTTTGCTACTTATAATAAGGCAGCCAAGAACAGCTTCTCTAATAGCTTGATATTTGGTCAGAGACTTAAAGGAGGTGACACAGGAGGTCTTGGGTGTGTTACCAAATAGCCCTCCAGGCCTAGGGAATGGAATGCCAAAGCTCTGAGGTCTCAAAACCAGAGGCCAGCGTGGCTGGAGATGTGTGGGTGAGGGGACAGGGTAGGGCGTGAGGCCACAGAGACCTGGAGGCAGAAGGTCAGGTCACATGAGGCATGGAAGACCATTGTGCCGACTTGATCAACCTGTCCTCTGAGTGAAGCAGGGAGCCTCTGAGAGTTTTGAGCAGAAGATCAACGTAATGTAATTTGGGTTTTGAAAGTAAAATGGGTGTATTGGTGGTAGGCCATGAGGGGGCAAAGGTGGAAGCAGAGATCATCCAGAAGGCTATTCCCGAGCACCAGGTGAGAGACGGTGGTACCCTGACCAGGAGAGGAAGGGCTGAGAGGCGGTCAGACGTAGGACAGGTTCTCAAGGTCAAGCTGACAGAGGTTTCTAATGGAATTGTGGTGCAGATCCAGAGCGCTGTCTGAAAACTGCAGGTCCAGGAGATAAACTCTTAGAGGCCTTTACAAAGCCTCGAGACTCCCCCCGACCAGGGCCTCACCACATGCCCAGACTCGGCAGCTTTCACCACCTCCATGCTACCTGTGCCAGTGATGCTTGTTAATTTGGAGCCCGCCACCCTCTCTCCAGCCTCCTGCCTTTGCATGCGCTGTTTCTTCTTCCTCCATCTGGACCACTTTGCAAACAACCTTTAAATCTCAGTTCAAATGCCACTCCCTCTTTGGGATCTTTCCTTCCTCCCCAGGTCTGTTTCGATGCTTCTTGCTCTATGCTTCAATTTTCGTTCATAATCCCACCAAAGCAACCACTTGGTGTATTGTGACTAATTGCCGCTTTCTCCCCTAGGTCGTTCAACTTCTTGAATGTCTAGACTGAGCCTTTTCATTTGGTTTCCTCAGGACTTACCATGATGCCGGCATGTAATGGGTGTTTTATAAGCATTTGTTGAATAATAAATAAATGTTTTAGCTTCAAAACTCATTTCACAGTGTGAGTGGTGCTCAGTGTGTCTAACTTTGGTAATAAGAGCCACGGGTCCGGATTCTTCCCTACGTTGTTCCGCGGTGTGAGGGGAATTTTGGAACGACACTCCAATGGGACAATTGCAGGTTTGCTTTTTGAGAGACTTTCATATAAAGTGTCCACCAACAGGTTCTTTGAGCTGGAGAAATAGGAGCTGCAGGAGGCACTGCATTGACATGGCAGATGGGTCATCCATTGTTCAGCCATTTTGGGGGCGTTTTTGAAGTTAAATGAACTAATATAAATTGACTTTTTGCTACAAAACTTTTACTTCCTGCAACATATGAAATATGTATGTGGGGTACTACTGATCCCAGCATGCTGTTGTCCCCTGTTAAGAGACACGATGAGATTCATGGCCATCATTTGCACCCTGGACCCTTTCCCTAAACTGGGAGGTTTCTTTAGGAAGGGGCATCTCTGCTTCCAGTCTAAGGCTTGCCTTGATGCCATGGCTTGAGGTGTTATTTGTATAATCACACGTTTTTTCGAAAGTAAAAACAAAAACCTTTGGATCGAAGACTTCCATTTCACAATAGGACTCCCCAAAATATATGTATAGCCATGCTGCAAGCTGCCAGCTGTCAGTTGTTAGAAAAAGCCTTGCTGGAAATTAATTTTCAAGTGCATTTTTAGTAGTTGTTGATTTAAAACCAAGGAATAATGGAATGAAACAGATTTGAAGTAGGATCTGTATGTTCCTAAGAAGGAGAAATAAAAATTATTATGTGCTATTTCTATCCAGGCAATGTGTTAGACACTTCACATTTTTTATCTCATTTAATTCTGATGACAGCTTTTCAAGGTATTTTATTCTCACTTTCCAAATGAGAAATTAGAGGCTTAAGGTCACATAGCTAGTTAGGAAAGAGCCAGTTTTAAAACAAAGTGCTGTCAAATTACAAAGTTCTTTCTACTCCATCCTACTGCCTTTCTGCCTTGGTTATTTCTTATAATGAACACTTTTGTTCAACAGATACATGCACTTTTTAAATAAGCTTTTTTGTGGTGTTTATAAATCATCTTTCAATAAGGTGACCTTATACCTTCTTTGCCCTGGACACCCCTAGTTTATGCCTGTTGCCTTGGTGAAATTATTAATAACACAGCATTTCACTCAGAATTGTCCTGTCTGGAAAGGAAATGACACAGTCACCCTCTCTTTGAACTTGTAGATCACACTGCTTATTCAGTTGCTTCCTGGTGAATCCTTTGCCCAAGCTCCAGGGGTAGTTTTTTCAGCTTGACTGCATAGCTCCTAGAACCATCTAGATCCTCAGAAATGCAGGCAAAAGATCCAAACAGAATCATGATACCACAAAGCCAACAAGGCAATACAAGCTGATTTTAGTTCACTGAACAGATTGACTGAAAATTTTTCCAGTTGTTCATCTGGAAAACCAGATTTAAATTGCGCTGTGTTAGAAACACTGGTATGTCAAAAAAAGACTTATATATATATAAAAATAGATATAGATATATATATATAAATTGTGTATACACACACACACACACACACACATATACAGATACACACACATCATGATGGAGAGCAGTTTTCCGTAGTAGGTTTGGCAGTTGGCTGGCAGAGACCCTGTGAATTTCAAATAAGGAAGAAGTTGATCCTCTAAGCCTCACACAGGAATAACTTATTCTTTATTTCTGAAGATCTGGAATCTTCCCTTTGATGGTAAACATGCCCCTGCTCTGGGTTATCCAGGTGTGAAGTCAGAGAAGCCAACCTTGCTTTTGTCTTAGTAAACCTGGCCATGAGGATGAAGACCTGGAGATCAACCCTTAAAATGTGGGCTAAGAAATGCCCCAAAGCCATCCCACCCTTGCCAGCCACTGGTCTGCCTTTTTGGGGGAGCCATTCTTCATTTGTGCCAGCTATTCTTGTGGGACTCCACTTCCTGTATTGCTCTGGCTAATCGAATTCCCTACTGGGATGAAAGCATTTCTGTGCTGGCTTGAAAACGGAAGAGCTCAAATGCGTACACTGTAAATACTGATGACAAGAGAATCTCATCCCTCCTGTTGTTATTTATTTTGAGATTTTTGCTGGGGCCATAGTTTTACGTTCGACATTTATATAGGTCACAGTGAGCTAATTGCCATCTGCCATCTGAGGACTCTTTTGTAATGAACATTATAGAAGACTATGGAAACATTCTCTGGCATTTCTGATTTGCACACAAGCGGAAACGGAGCTCATCTTTACAATATACTCTTCTTGCTCACATGTGCTCTGCCGAGGTGCTCACTCACGCTCATGCACACAGGCGGCATGGTGCCCCGGGAGCCTGGGCTGGGCTGAGCTGAAGCTCATTTCTCTGTCATCCTCAGATACCTTTTTTTGGCAGGAAACTGAGCTCTGGCTTTCAAGCTAAGGGCTTCAGGAAATCTCACATGGATCTAATAGTACCTGGGCTAGACAATGGGCTTTCAATGAACCCTGCTAAGTTTGTGGTAGGTTTTCAAAAGAATAATGACTGGAAGAGACAGCCCCGAGTGTGTTGCTTGCAGACAGCCTGGTGCCATTAAAGGAGCACGCACTGTCTGACTAGAAGACCTGAGCCCATTCAAATGAGGCCCTCACTTGAACCCTTGAAGCCTCTATTTCTTCGTCTATAAAATGGAAATAAACCTTCGGCTTTATTCATTTTGAAAATTACATGAAAGTATAAATATGAAACACTTGATGCACTACTTGGTAAATAGAGCTCCCTCTTTAAGTTGTTCATTTCACTTTTTTATTCTTCTTCATCTACCCTACGCTCCTAGTAAGGATAGGGAGCCCTAGGGAGGTATATGTAGGCGGGGAGGATGGAAGGAAAAAACCTTCTTCTTAATCCATGTGCTTCTTCAGTTCTACCATTGACACCCTGGTCAGTGAGTCTAATAACTCAAACGGCCCCGGAGATTCTGATTGATGTTACAACAGCTGGTTTGTGGGTGTTGGTAAGCTCAGTTTCATCCTTCCCAGAGGAGTGGATTCAGCAACCCCTGCAGTGGAAAAAAAGAGAGTGCTCATACTCCCCACGGCCCAGAACAAACCTGGGCTACTTGGTGAGGCCCCAAGGGAGAAGAGGAAGGGGTAAAGGGAGGCCAGGAGCATCCGAAAGACGAATGACTCAGAGGGAAGAGGGGAGACTGAGCAGGCAGTGACTTTCGTTCTCTCTAGTCACTAGGATCCATTCTTACTGTTTTCAGGTAACTGTAGTTCTTTCTGATATGCGGTAAGATATTTTTCAAATATCATTCTGCACCCAAAGAGGAGAAGGAAAGCCAGCTTGCAGATTAGCGCAGACCAGATGTTATTAATCCCTGTATGAGAAATGGCTTGTTGGACCAGAAAGATTGCTTTGCTTAGTCTCCCTTCCACCAGCTTTTGCTTTGATGTTGCAGTAAATGACCCTTATTCTGTCTAACTACAGTGAACTGACATGTGGCATTTGGATCCTCTGTTATCAGGATCTGCTGAGATGAGATTTCTGATTGGACCATTTGCTACTCCTACAGCTTCACGGTTTTTTGTTTTGTTTTATTTATTTGTTTGCCAATGACGTTACTGGAATTAAAGTTAAAACGTCTCCTTGCTTCCACAACACTAACCTAGAATCCTGAGGTGGGTCATCCCCAACCCCAGCCCAGCCTGTCACCCTCTCCCTCTTGGCTTTGTATTTACTTTCTTTCATTATCGCTGTCTTTATCTATTTCCACTACCAGTCTACAGGTTTTATTTACGGCAGGGACCATACCATGTCAACTTGGTATATCCTTAACACCTAACACAGTGATTTGCACATAAGAATGTACTTAATAAAGGTGCATTAAAGAAATAAAGGAATGACATTAGCCTATTCTTGCCCAGCAGCCATCGCATCTTCCAGCCTCAGTATAAATGACCAGCCCATCAGAGAGGGCTTCTCTCATCCCTGTTCTAAAGAAACCTCCTCCTTTATTATTTTTTCTCATAGAGCTCTATTTTTTTGGTATATGGCATTTAGTGCCATCTGTAATTATATTTATTTAGGGGAGCACTTGCTTATTGTTCATCTCCCTCAGTGGACTAGGATAATCTCCATGAGGGTAGGACTCTGTCCGTTTGTTCATTACTGTATGGCCACAGCTAGCCAAGGTGCCCGGCATGTAGTAATGTTTATTAAAAAAAACAATTAATGAGTAAAGAAAGCACCTGATTGAAAAGCTGACCTGAGAGCATTTCCTGGTGGCTAAAGACCTGTGAAGCCTGGTTTTCTCCTCTTGGTGAGAAAGCAAGGAAAGAAGGAAGATAGACAAGCAGAATCTGTGCTCCTTGGTAATAGGCTGAGTTAGGCAATAGGGGCCTGGCTTCCAGTTCTGGTTCTGCCCCTAACCAGTGGGCCAGCCTTAGAGAAGTCACCATCAGATAAGATCCTTTCTTGGTCAAGGAAGGATTTGGAGCAGCTTGTATCTAAGGAATCTTCCAGTTTTATAATAGCTTTTGGAGCACTGTACCTAGGGCTGATTCTCTCCTTAGGGTTAAGCATTCCTTTATATTTCAGTAAATGTTAATAAATAAAAACAAGTAAGCAAACCAAAACAATTTACCTACTCCAGGTCCCTAGGTTTCGTTAACTCCTAGAGCTTCATGAGGATGGCTGCTCTGTGGGGCATTGGCTATAGAACTCTTTCCTCTCCTGAGAAGTCTTATAGGCAATGCTTATTTCCTACCACCAAGGTAGTCAAGGTCATCTCCTTGGTGTTATGTGTGGGTGGCGGCAGAGATGAGGACAAAAATAAAAGAGAAGCAGTCGAGCTGACTTCTGATTCATATAAAGGATGTAAAAACCACATCTAAATATCCAGACTTTCTATCTTCCTAAGGATTATACTAGAGAATGAGTTTCACATAATCGAAATGACTAGAAAGATACTGAAAAGAAGGCTGGGGGCATTGAACATCAATGGTTGCT